ACATTACATGAATATATTGTCTCATATTATGGAATAGGGATTATAATTCTATAGTGAGATATCTTTGAGCTACAATGTATTTTAATTAAAACTATCTTTAGATATGCTTTTTGAGGAAAAAAACCTTTTATCAAAAAAATGATTTTTTTAATTAAAAAAATAATTGACTCTTATCCACCCTGCCCCAAAGGCAAGGGGATTTGAAGACCTTTGTTTACATTGACTCTGAAGAGATGATACTTTAGGACTTTTGGTTGTAGCTTGTCCACAGACAAGTTCCCTCCTTTCCCTTTGAAAAATCATCTTTAACTTGCCCCCACTGTTAAGAAGGTAAATTCCAAGCAATAAAACATAAACATACACTGTATGAGTCAAGGCTGCTGTGAGACCTTGATTTTTGCATTTTCCGGTATATTAGTTCCTAACCTTAGTGTTGCAAAAAACCTGTGTAATGCAATTTAGAATCACAGAATTGTAGGACCTCGAAAGGTCTTCTAGACCAGTCCCCTGTACGCAAGGCAGGACTAAGTTCTAGACCATCCTTGACAGGTGTTTGTCTAACTGGCTCTTAAAAATCTCCAGTGACGGAGATTCCACAACCTCCTTAGGCAATTTATTCCAGTGCTTAACCACCCTGACAGTTGGGAAGTTTTTCCTAATGTCCAGTCTAAACTGTCCTTGGTACAATTGTAGGCCTGGGCTACACTATCGGGGAGGTTCGAACTAAGATACGCAACATCAGCTATGCTATTCGCGTAGCTGAAGTCTAAGTATCTTAGTTCGACTTACCTGGCCGTCCTCACGGCGGCGAGTTGACCGCCGCGGCTCCCCCGTCAACTCCGCTTACTCCTCCTGCCGAGGTGGAGTACAGGCGGCAATTCGGTGATCGATTTATCGCGTCTAGACGAGACGCGATAAATCGATCCCCAATACATCGAACACTACCTGCCAATCCGGCGGGTAGTATAGACGTACCCTAAGCCCATTGCTTCTTGTCCTATCTTCAGAGGTTAAGGAGAACAATTTTTCTCCCTCCTTCTTGTAACAACCTTTTATGTAATGGAAAACTTATGTCCCCCCTCATTCTTCTCTTTACCAGACTAAACAAACCCAATTTTTTCAATCTTCCCTCATAGGTCATGTTTTCTAGACCTTTAAACATTTATGTTGCTCTTCTCTGGACTTTTTCCAATTTGTCCACATCTTTCCTGAAATGTGGTAACCAGAACTGGACACAATACTCAAGTTGAGGCCTAATCAGCACAGAGTAGAACGGAAGAATTACTTCTCGTGTCTTGCTTACAACACTCCTGCTAATACATCCCAGAATGATGTTTGCTTTTTTGCAACAGTGTTACACTGTTAACTCATATTTAGCTTGTGGTCCACTATGACCCACAGATCCCTTTCCACTCTACTCCTTCCTCCGCAGTCATTTCCCATTTTGTATATGTGGCAGCTGATTGTTCCTTCCTAAGTGGAGTTCTTTGCATTTGTCCTTATTGAATTTAATTGTATTTACTTCAGACCATTTCTCCAGTTTGTCCTTATTTTGAATTTTAATCCTATCCTCCAAAGCAATTGTAACCCCTCCCAGCTTGGTATCGTCCACAAACTTTATAAGTGTACTCCTCTGTGCCATTATCTAAATCACTGATGAGAATATTGAACAGACCCAGACCTGATCCTTGTGGGACCCCACTCATTATGCCCTTCCAGCTTGACTGCGAACCACATGTGCACTCCCTCCAGGTCTTCACCTGAAGAGCCTTTGGAAGCATCAGTTGGGCAGTACTACTTGCAGGAGCATATTACACTTGTGCCCCAGATGCTGCAAAGGCTTATGATGTATTTTAAATACAATTTAAGGTATTGGCCTCATAACACTTGTTTTTTGCTTATATTAGAAAATGCCTCACTCTGAGGTGCCATGGGAGTTGAGGCCACCAATGTTTGCCTAAAGTTTGGGGGACTGGTTTTCAGTGACGGACCCTCAACTTGAACTTCTCCCCTGTAGCACAGATACACTCTTAGTCATAAAGAGCAGGTTGATGACTTGCAGGGAAAGCTGGAAACCCTGTGTTGGAGGGGCTGAGTTGAACAGGAGAGGCTGACAGTATTAACTATTGGCACCGGCCAACTTGAATAGCTGTTGAACTGTAAAATGTAATTTGGACCAAGAACTTGTCAATTATGAACTAAAATGGGGGATCTTGTCACTCCAAATCACCAACTTTTCCTATCAACTGACCAGGCTTGCCAGCTCTTGTTTTTTTAGCATGAGTTTATATTTGGTTCTGAAAGCCTCAGCTCCTGGAGTTGGGTGATAATTGCAGTTTGTTTTTGTTTTGTTTTTTAAAAGCAGCTTCTAGCTCATGGTTGCAAAGAAGTTTGAAATCATGAACTTTAAAGGCTCAAACAAGGCAAATAAAAACCCCAAGTTTATTCAGTTAAAATCTCACTGGGGTGGGGGTGGGGGGAGCCTAACCATGACTTCTGAATGCTCGGAGTTAGCAATAGTAGGGCTCTTGTCTTAGAAGGTTTTATCAATACATCATGCAGAGTCTGACATTATCTGGAGACTAAAGAACACTTCACTCCTGATTCTTTTCAGAAACTCCTGCACAGGAGTAGGTGACAAAGTCCCTGGTAGCAAATGCTGCTAGGCTAGCACGTGTGTAGAATGTGTTGGGGCAGTGGGGTGTCTCCAAACCACTGCTGCCAATAGCCGGAGCACACAAACCCAACATAACCAGCAGGAGTCACCTGAAACAGCACGAAACAGCATTTCATACCCTATACAGCTCCAGAACTACTGTTTGAGCCAAACTTCTGGAAACAGTCTCTTAAAGGTTTCAGCTCTGCTGGATTCACACTGATGCCAGCAGCCTGAGTATACTTCAAGTCACTGTTCTCTGCTTTCTTGATGCTACTTTCCCCTCCTTCCCCCCCCCCCAACTTTGGTCCCAGGCAAGCCACACACTTCTGCTCCAGGATCAGCCCTCTAAGGGAGGGAGATTTGCACAAGAGATACTTCTCATAACTGGGCTACAAAAGCTGCTCCTCTACTGTAGCATCACTCTGCTTCTGCCAGCTCTTCCAAAACTGGAGCCCCAAGGAACCACCTTCAGGGCCTTTCACTACAAACTAATTTCATCACTTCTTCCACCACTTTATCTCTGGAAGCCTGAATTCAGTCACCAACTAGTTAACTTTGGTGTCACAACTTGCTTGTTCTCATGTGTACTACCTGCATCTATCTCTTTGACCCCTGCCACTCTTTATCCTTCCCTAGTGCACATCTTTCCCCACAACCACTTTCCTACCCTGTGTCTTCCTAACAACCTGTGGTGCTTGCACACTATCCAGCCTCCTTTACTCCAGTCACTCCAGTTCCATCAGAATAAAACAACCCAAAGTAAAAGCTTTCACTCTTTAAGAAAAGTTAAAATGCAGAACCATCGTGGCCTGCGTCTCTAACAAACGGAAGCAACCACATGATCTTATCACTGTAATCTTTTTCTTGGCTTCTACCTCCCAATAAATATTGTTGCCCTTGCACTTTAATAGTAAGTTCCTCCAGGAAGGGACTGCATCTTATGTTTGCAAGGCAACTGCACCCTTGTTGTGCTGTGTAAATAACATATGGGGGGGGGTGTCCCCAAGGTGAAGTAGGAAGAATCCTGCCCTTCATATGGAAGGGGAGTAGGGTAGTGGGTGAGAGGATGTGTGGGCCAGGGTAGGGATGAGAGGGTCTGCCCCTCACAGCTTGCATTGACACTGCAGCGCCACCCATGCAGGCAATTGTAGTGTGGGGGTTTAGTCAGGGCATGCCATCTAATCCTACTCGGAGCAGGTCTAGAGGACACAGTGACTAAAAACATGGGTGGCAGCCCATGCCTTGTATACACAAGCAGTCACACGATCACTAGCCCTGCCTGGTGGCTGTGCACTTAAGGGAGAATTCCCCCAAAAGTCTAGTGTACACAAGACCACAGCGTGGAGGTTATTGCTAAGGAGGATTTCAAGGCTGGTGGGTAGCTAATGAGTTTGCTGGATGGGGATGTCCTGCCTTTTGCTAGGAAAAAAGCAGATGTGCTACTCCTGGCGGGATAGAGGGACAGCACATCATTGGGATGTGCTTCGGGGACTGCTCTGGGATGGGGTGTGGGAAGGAGGTACGATGGGTAGGACAGTGCGGGGAGGGGGGAACGAGGGGAGCTTGCTCTTGGTGGGCTGGAGCAGCCACTCACAGAGGGGTTGAGGAATAGTTGTCCTTGATGGGAGGGTGCTGGGGTGGAGCGGCCCTAGGGACAGGGGGGAGCTGACCCTCATGGGACGGGGCTGTGGGTGGTGGAGCAGCCCCGGGAGGGGGATGTGGCAGGGAGCTGCCCCCGGTGGGACGGGGCTAGGGGTGCTTGGGCAGCTCTGAGGCGGTACTGGGATGAGGGAGAGGCAGCCCCCGGGGGGGGCGGTGCCCCGCCGATGGGCGCTGCCCCGCGCGGGGAGGGTGTCCCTGGGAGCGCTGCGCTGCCCCCTGGCAGGGGTCTCTGGGCCCGGGAGGGGCCCCCTGCGCCGGCCCCGCGGCGGTGAGAGTGACACCGCCTCGGGACCTGGGCTGTTCCAGGCCTCGCCTCGCCCCACCCCGGGGGGCTGCCGGACCCCGAATACAGCAGGTACCTACCTCCCGGGGGTGGGAACGGGCCGGAACACCGTCCCGGAAGCGAAACCCCCCGAGCGGGCCGCACCCCGGAAGAAAATTCCTCCCCCCTCTCCCAGTTCGTATCCCCCCGCCCCCCGGTGCCCCGGTAAGGAGCGGCCGCACGTCATGTGACCACGCCCATTGGAATGTGGCCGCCATGGCTCTTTGGGGGCGGAGACTGGCTTCCGTCATCGTCATTGCTCTGTCCTATGAGAATAGTTTTGCGGGGACCATGATTGCCGCTGCACTGTCACGTGACAGCGTTTCGAGGCGGACATATATACCGGTGGCACCGCCTCCTTCTTCCCTTTTGCTGAGCTGGTGCGTGCACTACAGTGGTCTGGCGGTTGGGTGAGTATCGCGCGCGTTTAGGCCTCTCTGGCGGCTCGATGCTGATCAATGCCGACTCCATCGCGGTCCCGACGCGGTGTGGCCCCCCTCTCGGAGGGGCTTTGCCGCCGATGGGTGCGGGCTGAGGAGGATGGAGGTGGATTGTCCAGCCCCCCCCCCCCCCCCGTGTGTGGGCTCCTGCTCCTCGTGAGGCGCGAAGCTTAGGTGGCTTCATTGATGTTAATGGGGGACTCGTGGCCCGTGAGCTCTGGCCAGGTCGGCGCACCACAGGGCCCCTCCCCCAGCGTGCAGCGCTGCCCCCCGTCGGCCTCGCTGAAGGAGGAACGTTGCATACTGAGGGTTGTAGTGCCCTTGCGCTTTTCTAAGTTGGCGTAGGGGTGGCTTTGGTAGGCGCCGACTTTGTGGGCATCAGAGGCCCTGCATTGTAGGGTTTGGGATTGGACTATGGGGTTGCACGTGGTGTAGTGCTAGGTGAGTTGGACTCTGCCCTTAACATCTCCGGTCTGGGAGGGTCTTCAGCAGAGTATCAAGTGACTCTAGTGTAGTGGTTTTCAACGTATGGTTCGCAGGTGATGCCTAAGATTTTCAGAGGGGTCTGCACCTCCATTCAAAATGTTTTATGTTGCTGCAAATGAAAAACGCCTGCTAGTAGACCTGCCAAAGCAAGTCTGGTGTGTGTGTGTCACAGTCCCTGACTCTCAACGCAGCCCATTGCTTTTCCTAAAGCTGTTCAGACACAGAATTTTTAGGCCTGAACTCTACCAACCAGCAACTTGTAGGACTAGATCAAAAATAGCGTTGTGGCCCTGTTCCTGCATTTTATAGTGATGTGTAGAGTCCTATGTAAGCTCGTAGTAGATTAACAGATCTTGCCATAGCTTGTGTGCCCATTGGTAGCTTCTCAATAGGAAGTAGCTTGAGGAGGGATTGGTCTTTCTTCCAGTCTGTATAGTGAAGGTGGAGATAGAACTGGAAAGATGTAGCATCAGTGTAGTTGGAGGGTGGAAATGCCCTTAGAGTAAGTTGGAAAGAATATATGAACATGAGAACACGTGGTGGAAAGTGTTGAATCTTTCCTAGTGTAATGCTATCTTCAGTAGTAGGAGAGCAAGCAAGTCTTTGTACAAGCATGGTTTTTCCTTAGTAATAGTTAACAGGTCCCAGATTTCCTTTTTTTAATGGGATAGTGTCATGTCTCAGTGCAACTTGCCCTCCATGTACGTGCACATGATGAAAACCATGTTGGTAGGGACATCTGAGAGTATGATGAATACCAACATCTCTGAGCTGGACATGGGGTATATTCATTGCTGTGCAATGGCATAAATAGTTTGGAGGTAGTATGTTCTAGTCCAGTTTAGACAGGCAAAATCAAATTGTATTCGTGATTGCCTGAGTGTAACTAGGTGCCTCTATAAAGTTATAATTGCATTGTAGAAGGAATGGTGGGTAATCATTAGTGTCCCACTTGGGGGGGGGGGGGGCGCCTGTATTTTCTTATTGCAAAAAAATTATCTCGTTGGCATTAACTGGCCCTTTTAATAGTCTGAGATCTAACAATAGTGCCTATAGAACAGGTTTAAATGAATTTGTAGTAGTGTGTGCTGTAGCTGTTCTGGAATAATTGCTTTGGAGTCGTATTAGTCTTGCACCTTTTGTCAACCTGACATAAAATTTTCAGACTATCTAGGTAGGCTTTTTTCTGAAACTGAGGGAATTATGTAACATATACATTATATCTTCTGTTTTTAGCCATGATACATCAAGCAAGTTCTTCCCTCGCTGGTAACTACAAAACTGGTAGGTACTGCTTTCTAACTGTAGGGTTTAATTGGAGAAAAAGTACTATCTGGCCTAGTACAGATCCACTTGAAAATGTCTGGCTTGACTATTTTCAAGAAATCTGGAGTGCCTGCTGATCTCTCAGGAGGTGCAGGGCTAGTGTTGCTCCATGAATCGTCCAGTAGCTGTTTATATAGCACGTTGCTCTTAATTGGCCATCTTCTATGGCTGCATGGGCAATAGGACAATCACTTCAGATAGGCCTATAACAAAAGGTTTTGAAGTGAAAGACTGCGCTATTAAACTGAACAGCCAATGATGCTTTAAAGATAAGAGTAGTGGACAGAAGTGATTTCTGAGAACTCTATTCTGAGGCTTTATTCAGTGCCTGTTATCTTTGATCTCAGACTTTGTTTTACCAATGCTTGATTTGGTTTCTTTGTTTCTTTTGTTAGCAGACAGAGACCTGATGCCACTTGCTAAGGTAAAATCATTTTTTAATTTTTTGCATCATAAATGAGGGACAAAGTTACTTAAAGATAACTAAATGTAAATTACGGTCTAGAGGCCTTATTTTTTTAATCCGATCAGTACGCTAGCTAAATATTTCCAGCAGCTAAATACCAGACTTTCCCCTTGTGCCACAATGATGACACTTATTTGCTACTCTTGACAAGAGAATGATGAGAGCTCTCAACCACCTGTATTTCAAACTGAGGCACAACACTGTTGGGAACAGTTTCATCTATTGATGTCTGAACCTGTTTCATAACTCTCCTCTCTTTTCTCAGGTTTTAATGGAGGAAGTTGGAAGCCCCATAGAAGGAAGATTCTCCGGTAAGAAACAGAATAACTCCTCTTGGAAAAACATATCCATGGCCCATTAATGGGTTTCTCCTTCCTTCATGGAGCTGAGGGAGTGCAATGACAAGGATGGTTATGGAAGATGTTTAGAGTTCTGTGTCTGCTTAATACATCAGAACAATTCTAACTCTTGCTATTACTCAGTTTCTTGGATTGTCTTCTCCGGTTGAGTAGCTGTCTCTAGAGCATCTTTTCATTCAGAGCCACTCCTGCCTTTTGGTAGATCACACTAACTAAACCAAACTCCTTATTAGAAAAATAGCTTAGAACCAGTCTCACCAAAGCCGATACAGTGATGACAACATAGTTCAGCAGAATGCACAGTGACGAACACAAGCTTTGTCTTTCGCTCCTATCTGATGTATCTGGCTATCATGTGATCCTCCCCGATACATATTAGTAATGGTAATGGTGCCTAATTTTTCCTTTTCTCTTCATATAGGCCTGGAAGATGAATCCTGATGATGAAAGGTAAGTCATTAATTTTGACCTGGGCAGGTTGTTCCTCTGGCCAAAACTGCTGATTAAAAGTGATGTTTGGCTAGTAGATAGTGTCTAGGGAAGAAATCAACTCTAAAGAAGTGGCTTATTTTTGGGCTGCCCAAGTCTTTCATGCACCTCAGACAAATTTAGAAGTAAACTAGGAAGTAACTTGACTTGCTCTGTATTTTCAACTGCTGTTCTCTCTTCTCTCCAGTGGAGGCTGTATATGATAATAACATAGTTCAGCAGATGGTCTGTGAAGAACATGCTGTACTGTCTCTTGCTCCTATCTGATGCATCCTCCAGTTGCTTGTGACTTACTCTGGCAGCTAGTTCACAAGGAAAGCTCAGGTCATAAATGTGCTCTCCCTTTGTCTACCAAAAAGTGCTCTGAAGACTGGCTGGCTTACGGCAAAATTTCTTTTTTTGCTAGTCTCTAGTAACTGGATTAGAGAGAAACTCTCAAAAGGGGGAGAGTCAGTTCCCACAAACCTAGAAAAGGTGAAGCACAGACTATATTAGGGATAACTTGGTGTAGAACTTATTTTTGTGCTTGGATACTATTGATCCTAAAACGCATTAGATCAAATAGCTTGGTTTAATACACTTAAGTCAATGGATGTGCAGTAGCTTTACAGGAAATGCTATGTAAAGCCACTTCTCCAGTCTGTTTTGCCCATTAAACCAGAACAGTTAGATTTGTAATGTTACTATGCTATCTAAGCACTTCAAGATAAGACACTTAAGTATGTCTACACTACAGCGTGTTCTACGTTGGTAGAAAAATCTTTTGTAGATAACCACCGCTTCTGAGGTGGATTAAGTTGACAGAATCTTTTTTTGTCAATCTAGCTGCATCTGCGCTGGGAGTTAGGTCTACTTAATTTCACAGACCTGAGTGATGTAGTTCTGTTGACTTTTGTTTTAGGTGTAGACCCAGCCTAAGTGTCTAACATGCTGGTACCCTGCTGACCGTATTGTTTTTGTGGTCGTCCCCCTCACGCCCCAGGTCTGTCTTCCATCTGTTTTGTTTGTTTTGTTTTGTTTTATTCTTACATTGTTAGTTCTTTGGGGGAGAGACAGTCTTTGTTCTGTCTGTACAGAGCCTTGCAGAAAATTGGTCTTTGTCCATGATTGCTCCTAAGTGTTCCAGTAATACAAATAATAATAAATAACTAGTGGTATGGGTACCATAAATATCTCTTCTTTACAGGCTGTGTTAAATAGATTGGCTTCGGATGACCACCTGCCTGATGTATGGAGATAAAAATTCCAATTTGAACACAGTTCCATAATGTTTGCAGGGAGAGTAAAGCACAGGACACTTCATACAAAGGTAACTTTGGAGGACACACTTCTAGTGTAAATACATATTTCACACTGTCCTGCAGTCACCTATTGAATCTGCTTTACTCTTGCTTCTGTCCTATTGATTGAGTTTGAATGTTGGCAGTAGGAAACCTTAGACCTTTCAAAGTGAAGCCAGGAAGGGGAAAATATATGGAACAAACAAGAAATGTAGTATGTAAGGTTGAGCTAATAGCATCTGATCCTATTAGACAATTTTCACTAGGATTCTTCAAATGTGTACAATGAATATTCTTATAGTATTAAACCTGCTCTACGGGGGGCAGAAATCCTAAGACTGAACCATGACTTGGAGTACTGGGTTTAATTCTTGGCTTTGCCACACACTCCTTCAGTATTGGGTAATTTGCTTCATCTCCCAATGCCTTGTTTCTTCATTTTATGGATGGAGAATAACTTTCTCTGGCCTGTCTGTTGAAAACGTAAGCAGTTCAGAACAGGGACTGTCTATGGTGCCTAGACAATCCCTGGTAGGTTAATGTTTTTAGAAAGCTGATTTGCATTGTACAGTCATATGGTATACAACCTCTGCTTTACATTGCAGCAGGCGTAGCTTTAGGGTAAGCGGCCACACCAGTATTTTAATCTGGCAACTAGGTTTAATTAGATTGCCAAATGCAGAGTACTTTTTTATCCTGCTGTAATTGTAATAACATTAGAAGTTTAACATGCTATTGACTAATTGTGGGAACTGTCTGGTTTTTAAAATCTCTATCCATAAGACTAAGAGGTGGCACTGGCAGATGCAAGAAGCTGTTAAGTTAGTCAGGGTTTGCTCCAGAGAGAGCCCTGTCCACCTTTATTTGGGTGGTGGGCTGATGTGATCTAGGCCTCCAGACTTGTCGTCTTCACTGCAGAGTTAACTTAGGGGCCACACCTGAGTAAGACCCTAACTGTTCACTGTCCACCTGTGGCCTGAGTGGTGGTACTTTACACTCAAGCTAGTGTATACCCTGGGACAGGCCAGCTAACGCCTGAGTGCTGCTTATCTCCTTGCTTTGCAGTCAAGACTCAGCTAAATCAGCTGAGTGCTGATAACCATCCAGTGCCTTCCCATAACTTCTACCCTGTGTGCTCAGGACAGGCAAGTTCTCAGACAGCTCACTGAGCAAATCATAGCCATGGGATATGCACCCAAAAGTCCTAGCAACACACAAGTGGATGCAGCACCAGTGTGGACCAGTAACTAAGATATGGCTTTGCAGTCTGGCTGCTTGCACCCAGGCTAAGCCAACCTGGGTGCTCAGACCCAACTGCTGATCACCTGAGTTACTTCATCAGTGAGGAGATGTACCCAGGAAGGGGGCAGTAAAATAAAGAGCTCCTTGAGAGTCTAATAGGATTGGTGCAGGATTCTTAGGCAAGTACCCATCTCCTAGGTTAGAGAGGAGGATGTCATGTGTAATGGAAAACAGGCTGTCTGTGTACTGTAGATGATGATGAATCAGGTCTCTGATCCTAATGAGGATAAAATTGACTAAACACTGATACAGTTGTATAATAATTAAATACTATAGCAGCTTATTATGAGCTCCAGCTAATACCAGCTTTCTCTTGCAGGCTTCCAGAGGGTGCTTGGGTATCCTGTAAGTACTGTATTTTTAACTTCATGGGAATACTAGAGTAACTAGAGGTGGGAAAGGGATGGGTCTAGAGTATGCCTCTAAAATAATAAGGTTCTAGCTATAATCAGAGGATCTGTTAAAGTATATAGAAATATCAATGCTGGTTGCTTATTGCACATCACATCCTAAAATAGTAGAGGGATGGGGGGTCGAACTGGCAGAGGGCCCAACACTAACAACTTACCTAGTATCAGAGGGGTAGCCGTGTTAGTCTGGATCTGTAAAAAGCAACAGAGTCCTGTGGCACCTTATAGACTAACAGATGTATTGGAGCATAAGCTTTCATGGGTGAATACTCACTTCGGGCGTCTGACGCCCGAAGTGGGTATTCACCCATGAAAGCTTATGCTCCAATACATCTGTTAGTCTATAAGGTGCCACAGACTCTTGGTGGCAACTTGCCTAGTGTAGCAAACATGTACAGCTCCCATTGACATGAGAGAACCGTTTCTCATCTGATACTCCACCACAGCCTATCCCCACCACACAGATTTTAGTTAAAAACAGTTTGTTGCCCAGTCCATACAAGCAGCCTGTATGATGAGATGCAAATAGACTGACTCAATCATGGAGGTCTGTAATTAGCTCTATCTGATTTCAGGCATCTGGCTTGGATTTTCCTGTTTCATGGTTGGTTGTCTCTGGGTTGTCCTGACACTCTGCTTCATTCCAGGACTGGGGTGACTTGGATGTACAGAGTGCTGTTATTAGCAGTGGTAAGTCATCAGTCTGCTAGTTTTGCTTTGGTTTTAACTTCGCTATTGACATAATGTAATAAATAGTTCGGTTCCCTGCTACAGTCTGGTGTCCAGGTGCTGGCATCTAAGGGTCTCATGCATTATAGTGGAAATCATACTAAAGTTCTTAATGTAGAATTCCTGTGAGGTTTCCTGGCTTGTCCTTTTTCCTTTTCTGCCACAAGATTTCAGGTACTGTTAGCCTGCAGGGCTCACTTAAGGATAATCCAAGGTAGTGCTTCACCAGAGACTTAATGCTTTGTTTTGAGACCTGTGGATAAACAGCCACAGTGGATTTTGAAGACTTGTGTTCTAGGGAATCGTGGAATGTTGTAGGCTAATACACATAGCAGCTGTCTCCTACAGGGTTTATAATGATGTTGACAAATGTCTGACCTGAAATCAGTATGTGGACTACTTCATTACTGAAAGACCCTGTAAATGAAGTAATACAGAAATGAAGACACACTGTTTTACTTTATGCAGAATTGCTTCCTTTTTACTCCTGGAGAGCTGTCAAAAAGAAACTAATGCTCTCACTTCTGCTTGTTAGGTCCTGGCCCTGTCTTGACTAAATTTGGGTGAGTATGTATTTTTGTTTAGACCAATAAGTTGTTAACTTGTAGCTAGTAGGAGCATTGTTGTAACCAGTGATGAAATTAGATTCTGCCAAATGAATGTCCGTGATATTACTCCTTTCCGTTCCATTTACTCTGAGGTTACATTCTTGCTCTGTCAGAGTTCGAAATGGGAAAGGCAGTGTGTCCTCTAACAATGACTGGCCCAGAAGCTTGGAGTGGAAGGGATTTTAAAAATGTACTGAATACATGGAGTGTATTGTGGCTTCTCAACTGTTAGAATACTTTAACTTGTCCCTTTTGCTCTAAAGGGTACCAGTTTAAATGACACTTATGTCTGGATGAATACCTCTCAGATGATGGGGTCTGAAACCTCTACTGCTTAGGATGGGCCAAGGAATGATCTGTTCACCCCCTTAAATGATTAAATTAACAAAGCTTTTTAAAAGCTGGTTCATACTTCACTTGATCACTTCTGGTAGTCTTCCACACTGTAGATCGAGGAAATCTAGTCGAGCGGGTTATAGTCTAGCTAGTTTGGGTTACTAATTCATGTTATAGTACACTTTAAAACAACTTTCTTTTCCCCCATAAGCGTTAATATTAGAAGATGATGGATGATCAGGACAGCATTTCAAGTGAGAGGTTTGTATCTTATTCTGTTCCTTTTGGGTTATATGTGGCAAAACCAGCTGGGTTTTAATCCTGTAAAAGTAACTGCATTGTGTGATGGAACCAACCTTTCGTTGTTGTGCTTGTATGAAGCTCAGTGGCTTCACTTAAATACTATAGTTTTAAACTCTGATCCTAGATACAGATGTGTACTACTGTCAAACACTAACACTTTCAAGAATGCGGAGATGTGTGGTAGGTGCGCCTCTAAACAATTAAGGAGCAAGCCCTTGTTCCAGTTGTAAGATACTGGGGCTTTCAAAAAAAACCTCAGTTTTAGCCCAGCACTGTTCTCACTATAGTCAGTGGGGGTAAACTCCCATTAACTTAAATGAGAGCAGAGGGGGGGCCAACACAGAGCACTCACGAAAAATGTTAATAGGCTTGTAAGGTGGGACTTACCCATCTTGAGATGCTCCTAAATTTTCTTCTGTTTTGAATATGCCTCCTGCACCCACTTTAACACTATGATACCACAGAAGCAACATGGGAGTAACTTACAAAAAGCTTAAATTCCTACTATAGCACTTTGGGTCACTCTGCGAAATGGTGATGGCAATTCTTGCAGCAGAGTATTTCATGGGATGAAATGATTAAAACTGCATAGTACACATCTGTGCAGAACCTTGGTCTCCTGGGCCCTAGCCACTGGACCACAGTGATGACTCGTTGTCTGCAAGAGTCATATATAGGTGCAAATTCGCCAACATTGATATTGGTGTCTGATTAGTACGAGACTATTCCTCCAGTACCTGCAAAATGTAAATGTTCAGAGAGGATTCTAGCTGTGAAACCAGACTGAGTCGATTCACTGCACTTGGAATCCACATTAAAATCTACTAACTGCATATCTAGGATGCCTCCCTTGCAGCTGTATGATAGAGGTTACCTTCCCCCGTGCTTTCCTTTACAACTGAACAAACAGTGTCACTTGGCTTGTGGCTAGAATTGAAGCCTGTGATGACTTGGATTATAAGAGTAGTGGACAGAACGGATTTCTGAAAACTTCACTCTGAGGCTTTGAAACTAGTAGTATGTCTGCAGGCAGAGCAAAGAATGACATGTAACATTTGAATTTTTTTTTTTTTTCCCCTCCAGGGCTGGAGCGCACTCCTGGAAAAAGGATCACTTTGCTGAGGTAACTCTTCACTTGAACTTGGAGTAGAGTCTTTGCTCTGGTTCCCTGGCTGACAGTGGAAGCACACACTATGCTAGATATGTGCCTTGAATAAAGTGTTTGCAGCCATTATGAGCTGCTCTGCTTTTTAGAGTTAGCTCTGGACAGTTGCCAGAAGCTGGGAATTGGTGACTGCAGATGAATCACTTGATTATCTGTTCTGTTCATTCCCTCTGAAGCACCTGCCATTGGGCACTGTCGGAAAACAGGATATTGGGCTAGATCACTAGTTCTCTAACTTTTTGAATTGGTGACCCCTTTCACACACAAGCCTGAGTGCAACCCCCCCCCTTATAAGTTAAAAACACATGTTCAAATATTTAACACTATTATAAATGCTGGAGGCAAAGCAGGGTTTGGGGGTGGAGGCTGACAGCTCACAACCTCTCATGTAACAACCTCATGACCTCACCCCCAGTTTGAGAAC